GGGAGATAGTAAAGGACATTTCTAGGAGCCATTTCGATGCATGCCTCCCTCATGAACCTGAAGAAATGTCCACCACATCACCACTCCCTCACACCAACTCCCCCTCACACCTCTCACCTCTTACTGCCCGAAAGAAAGCTCCTGGCAAATGTTGAGCCAGATACACCAATGCTACAAGGAGGAGGCAACTTAGGAATGTGGCAAAGACATTTGCACATAGTAGTCCTGCAGTGCACAGCTGTACAGGCCAAGTAGCAGCGAGATCACCCCAAGGTGCTCAGAACAACACAGTCTCCATATGAGCAAAACAATCCAGGAACACAAGTAGAGAGACCATCACTTTCGTTGAAGGTAGCAGGAGTTGACTTAACAGATGACTGCTTCTGACATGGACAGTTCTATGTGGCCTGCTCCAGAGTGAGCTCATCAAGCCGCCTGGTGATCTTAGCACCTGAGGGCAGAACCACCAATGTGGTCTAGAGAGAGGTCCTTCAGTAGGGGGGGGGAGTACATATGTCTCACTTCATTTCTTACACCACAATCTTCTCTGTTAAAATTCCTACAACAGATGTCACATTTCAAATTTCACATCATCAGTATTATAACTGGATTTACAGAACTTAAATACCGTAGAAAAGCACGGGTAGCGGGCTAGCTTGAGAATAAAATAGTATAATGTCATCTTGGGGCAAGTCCACAAACTACCAATTCCATACTATAAAATATGAAGGCATGCCTCTCTGTTGCGACAGGCCTTCACATACTGTGTGTGTGTCAAGGGACAGCATTAATAGTGGTTTGTATGGATAGTGTTGGTAGGCTTGGAGTGCTGCTGAGTACATGCTTGGGTTCTAGCATAAGTGGAAGAGCCAGACAGGAAGCAAGAGGGAGAGCAGTCTCCAAAGCTACTGCTGTCACACCAGCATGTTATTTTATTGCACCTGCTTTTTGTTTGATTTTCAACAGAACCAATGGAAGGCTACTAGTATGGACTTAGATCTAGATGGAGATAGATCGAGACTCTCGCTCTTTCCTGCTGCTACAGATAGACTAATGCAGCCAAGTTTATCTGTAGCAGTAGAAAAGATCAAGAGTCCAGTAGCACTTTAAAGGCTAACAAAATTTGTGGCAGGGTATGAGCTTTCTGAAGAAGTGAGCTGTGACTCAAGAAAGCTCGTGCCCTGCCACAAATTTTGTTAGCCTTTAAGGTGCTCCTGGACTCTCACTCTTTTCTACTATGTATGGAGTTACTACTAGTATGGAGTTACTTTCTATAGTGAAAACAACAAGCATCCACACACTTGAACCAGATGCAGTTCCATGTCAGCAGCTCTAGCAACAATCCCCAAAACTGCTGTTTGAATATGGAGATATTTTGAAGGGGTTTTGCTGATCAGGAAATGCTTAAATGTTGGGGAATTTCAGACAGGCGCTATCTCCCGGTAGGGAACCAATTCTCAACCGGGTTCTGGTCTGTCATTTCAGACAGAACCCAGTTGAGAATCGGTTCCCTACCGGGATCTGACTGCCATTTCACACACAAAAGTCTCTGTTCCGTATAGACCCGGTTGAGAATCGGTTCCCTACCGGGATCTGACTGCCATTTCACACTCAAAAGTCTCTGTTCCGTATAGGAACCGGGAGGGAAGCGATTTACCTGTCAACCGCTTCCGAGGAGTCTCCCGTTCCCTCTCCCGGTTCCGATACGGTTCTTTCTCGCCTTTTTTCGGCCGCGCGGGCTTTTTTTTTTTGAACGTTCGGCTTATATCGATATATCAATATAACGCTATACTGATCCCATTGGAATACATTGGAATACTGGTATATCGATATATTGCTATAAGACGGACTTAAAAAAAAAAAACCGTGGGGAAACAAAGCGGTGCGTGTGTGAAACGCCGAACCGCTTGTGAATCGGCTCATTTCCGGTAGGGGCAAGCCGTGTGTGAAACGGCAGCCCTGTACCGGTTCATCTGGAAACGGAAGACTCCCGGCTTGAAACCAGGAGAAGACTGGTAATGTGAAATTCAACGTTGTTTGATGCATAGCTCATGCGTACCAGTAAACCTAATCCAGGAAGGGATGTGTAATTTTTATTTCCTAATCACAAAGATTATGTCATATCTTTTAAGGACTATAAAGATTTCAGAAGGGATTTAAACTACCTTCCAGTCAGATTTATTCAGTCAGTGGCCAGCACATATTGCAAAATTACAAGTTACAGAGAGGGGGGGGACTCAAAAAAATCTGCCATAATTACCATATACAGAAACATTTCCAAATTATAAAATTAGCTAAAATTTAACTTCAGTGCATAAGATTTTCTGCAAGATTTTATAGGCTGCCACAAAAAAAAAAAATTGCACTACAGAATGTAAACTGGAAGGTGGGAAAAACCGATCTGTTTCAGGACTCTTCCTATTGATTGTGTGGCTGCAATCCACAAACCAGTGAACTGAATAAACTTTGTAAAGGTGGCAAAGGAACAGAGCCCGCCATTTAGATGCAAGGGCAATAAGGGAAGTCTCACAATGACAGGAATAAGAAGCATGGGAGTGAATATCTCATGAATGGACGAATGGAACGGAGAAGCAGCAAAGAGCTGAATAACCCCTGGAATATGGAAGTGTGATTCTGTCACGGTGAAGAGCAGACTGCAGTCCCTCTGATTTGATTCATTTGTTTTCTTTTCACATATTATTCTGTGTGATTATAGGTTTATCTGAGGATTTCATTTTAATTTAAGCATGCAATGTTTTTGCTTTCAGACATCAATATGGCAGGAGAACCAAAACCATACAGACCAAAGCCAGGAAACAAGCGGCCAATTTCTGCTCTTTACAGGTATGTTGATCCATAATTCCTAGCAAAGGGGTGTTTTTCCTTAAGTTCTCTTCCCCGCTAATGGTGAAAACTTCACTGCAGAATGTCTGTCTGTCCTGTGTGCCTTAAAAAAAATGGTGGCAGCTGTATTGGACAATTTCAGAGAAGCTACAGCTCCTCAGTCTGATACTTACATTAGACCCATTTCTCTTTTTCCAGCCAGAAACTGAAGGCCATGTATATTTATTTATATGTCTGCCCATTTGTCTGGGAGGAGGGTGAGAGGCAGAAAAAAGAGCATATGGATAAGGGGAACTCAGGCCTACCCCCTCTTCCTCTTTAGCTTGCTTTGATATTGTTTTAAGCATTTTTTCCTCAGGCCAGCTGACTTTTGGTCTTTTCTTCCAGGATGGGAGAAAAATGCTTCAAACAACTGGGCAAAGCAAGGTAAGGCAGGGGAGGGGGCAGTGTTAAAAACAGGGCTTTTTCTGTTTTGTTTTGTTTTGTTTTGTTTTTTAAAGGAGCACACAACCCACTTTGCCCATGAAAGGCACAAGAATAGATATATATGTGGACCTCCTGTTGCCCCAATGCAATTATTTGGTCCTAAGAAACATCTCCCCTGAAGCCAGGTTTCCCAAGTGCCTGGGCTCACTGGGGAGTTCCCAAGTCCAAGTATTCCACCTTTTAGAAACTGAGGAGCAAAAGGAAAAAAATAGCATTCATAGTAATTGTCTAAGAATTTCGCCTAGTCTTTGTTGTCTTTACCACAGAGATTAGGAGATATTCCTAGAGCATCACATTGAAGTGACATGACATCCTCCCCAAACTCCAACCTTCTTAGGCACCCCCCCACACAAAAAAAGAAATGTCCCAGCATTTGCTTAAAACAATCCAAAGAAATAACACACAGTCCCAAAACAGTCAGGTATGGAAAAAATACAGACGTGTGCTAGATGCCCACAGAACAATACAACAACACATGAGTATATTAAAGTCATAACATATTTAGTGTCTGGTAAAGACAAACAACATATTCCTTCATAGAAAAATACAAAGGTCAATAAAAATTCACATAGCAGTCTGTTCGAGTCTCTCACAATCTATATTGTGTCTTCTGTCCTTGTACAAATTAACAACAGCAGCCTGCTCCATATAGAGTGTGCGGACTCTAAACTGGGAGAACCGTGTTTGATTCCCCACTCTTCCACTTGCAGTTGCTGGATGACCTTGGGCAAGCCATAGTTCTGTCAGAGCTGTTCTCTCAAGGACAGTTCTGGAAAGAGCTCTCTCAGCCCCACCTACCTCACAGGGTGTCTGTTGTGGGGAAGGGAAGGGAAAGGAGTTTGTAAGCCACTCTGAGACTCCGAGTGAAGGGCGGGGTATAAATCCAATCTCCTCCTCCTCCTCCTCCTCCTCCTCCTCTTCTTCTTCTTCCAATCAATCTGTGTATCTCTTTCAGTCAACACTCTTTCCAGATAGCTAAGTGCTTCAGACCTCTGATCTTTCCTCAGGAACATATCCTATATGCCTCTAGTGGCATAGTATGGGTCCATTTGACTTTGGCAGCAGCATCAGTACGCTTGGAAATAAGGGAGGAGACCTTGCCCAGATAGTCTAACAGAAAAGTAAATCAATGAAAGTGTCTACTTGAACATAAGATTGAATGTGAGATTCCTAAATAGGACTTGTTCCTGAGGAAAGACCAGAGGTCTGAAACACTTAGATATCCGGAAAAGAGTGTTGACTGAAAGAGATACACAGATTGATTGTATTTGGAGCAGACTCTGCTGTTGTGAATTTGTACAAGGACGCAAGACTGTTATAAGTATATAGATTGTGAATGACTGGAGCAGACTGCTATGTAAATTTTATTGACCTTTGTATTTTTTCTATGAAGGAATATGTTATTTGTCTTTACCAGACACTAAATATGTTATGGCTTTAATATAGTCTCATCTGTTGTTGTAGTGTTCTGTGGGCATCTAGCACAAGTCTGTATTTTTTTTCATACCAGCATTTGCTTAGGCAGTGCTGGAAATTCTACCTGAAGCCAGTATTTTGGAATTTTCAAATAAACAGGATTCATAAAAACCTTTTCCCATTCCATAATCCTAAAATGGCTATGCTTCTTGGTATTACTTGCAATAAGTCACATGTTGCTACCTTGGGAACCATAAGTTGGATGGGAAGGCAGTTTCTAAATAAATAAAATGTCTATATAATTGACCTTAGCACAGAAGGCCTAGTTTACATCATTAATAATTTTATTTTTTTCTAACAGTGTGTATTTATTGTGGTCTTATCCAGGAATATGGAAGAAGATAGTTTTACATTTAAAAATGAACAGATATCTCAGAACAATTTACCTTGCACAATTATTTTTCTGTATTGTACTGATAAACTAGCTTAAACCTATCCATTTTCTCCTTCAAAAGCCTAACAAGGCGTTTGCACTCTACTAGATTTTGTGTGTGTGTGTGTTACTAATTGCCTCCACATGGGGATTTTACCTTTTCTGGCCAGCTGAATTCCCCTACTTTTGAGGGGAACTTCCACATGATATCATACTCATTTGGAGCATGATTTATGAGGATCCTATACATGGAAAAGAACCACCTCCTTTGTTCCAGCTCAATTGGAGTAACTATAGGCAGAGTATCTGTACAGATGCGATCCCTGCAGCTCCACCCCAAAATGGCAGAATTAAGATCTATGTTCCCTATTTTTAAGACCTTTAATAGGCTCCCACCCCCTCCAGCTGAGCTGCAATGCTCCGCACACCATGCCTGAGCTCTGGAACAGAGAGGAAGGGGTGCCAGGCTACGGGGTGGGGGCAGTATGATTGTCAGCCATCAGTGCTTCTAGAGAGTGGGAAGAACAGTGAGTGTTGCAAGGGGACAGAGCTTGAAGACATCATTTCCACATACCTCCACCCCACTCAGTGCTGCTTCCACAGCCTTTCTCATCCCATGTGAAAGCCAGCCATATAGCACAACTGCATTCCTAGGATAGCACTGCCATAAGTTCTTTTAAAATATGAAGATCTCAAAGGCCTGTGAAGCCGAACAAAGCCATCTGTTTTAGAAATGCATTGAAAGGAAGCCTGAAATGACACAGTGCAGGAGGAAGTCACGCATGCCAAAGAGTGAGGTGGTTCTGAGGACAGAGAAAGGAAGCCTGAAATGACACAGTGCAGCAGGAAGTCACGCGTGCCAAAGAGTGATCTTATAATTCTGATCTTATAATTAAACAGCAGATCCCACGTAAAAGAAACGCTCCCTAATTGTACTGAAGGCTGAAATTCAGTGGCCAAGCTGTTGCTGTTGTCAGAAAGGGAATAACAGCAGAAGAGAGAGATGAGATTTGATCATATCTTTCGTATTCTCTCTTTAGTGACGATCATTATTCACTTCCAACTACTTCAGAGCGCTGTTCAGAAAATATACAAATGAGTTCTATGTGATATCACAAGTGGAGAATGATAGTCTATAGTTTCAGGAGAAGAGGCTGTGAATCACTACAGCTGACCCAAAAATCCCAACAGGGAAAGTTTTATATTAGAAGCAGAACACAACCTCCATCTCTTTGCCCATGCTGAGGCAGCCGTGTTTCTACACCACTAGCTATCTTTTGGGCTTGCTATGGGCTAGCTGTGCCATGGAAGGGCACTTGTGCTGCAGTAATTAAGGCAGAGAAAAGGTTCTCTCTTTCCATCTTCTCTCTTCACAGCCTGGTATCAGTTTATCTGACCTGTTGGTCAGCCTGTGCTGGCCAGATAAAGGATTGGGTTCTACCTAAAATGTCATAGAAGGAAAGATTTCCAGCCTGGGAAGCTGCAAATCCACCTCCCAAAAAAATGCATTTGGACAGAGGCCCCATCAGAAATAACCTGGGGGAGTTGGAGGTTACCTGCAGTAGGGGGAATCAGGGAACACTGTTTCCCCCTTGTGCACATGGAATTTTTAGGCAGGATCCAAGTCGTGGTAATAATACATTAGAACAGAGCATATGCTATCAGAATACTAGTCAGCCAGACTGCCGTTTTCATCAGAACCCAGTGAATTCTCAACTGTTGTAATCAGTGTTCCCTCTAAGCTGACTTCGTCTTTTAGCCTCCAGCTCACAGGTTTTTGTCTCACCTCAGGAAGGGTGGCTCCAGAGCAAACTAATTTATGCAGTGGCCAAATCGCTCGCTCACAACTGTAATGGCAGTAGCTCACAAAGTAGAACGTTTGCTCACAAGACTCCACAGCTTAGAGGGAGCATTGGTTGTAATTGCAAACGACAGTAAAAATTCTCATATTTGAAATCCACAGTATAGAAAGGCATGTTTAATCTCATCAGAACTAATGGGGATTAAAGGCTGCAGACCAGAAGGTCTGTAGTTCGGCAGTTCGAGACCCGAGTGCTGCATGACGGAGTGAGCTCCTGTCTCTGGCCCCAGCTCCTGCCGACCTAGCAGTTTGAAAGCAAGAAATTGCAAGGAGATAAATAGCTACTGCTTCGGTGGGAAGGTAACAGCATTCCGTGCGCCTCGGCGTTTAGTCATGCCGGCCACGTGACCATGGAGAAGTCTTTGGACAGTGCTGGCTCTTCGGCTTTGAAACGGAGATGAGCACTGCCCCCAAGAGTCGGATTCAGCTGGCTTTCAAACAAGGGAAACCTTTACCCTAATACATATAAATGTATCCGCCTTCCTTTGGATGACACTTATTCCATGGAAGCCCCTTTGATTTCAGTGAGCTTCTACTGGCATTTAACCCTGCACAGATGTTAGATCAACGCTGTATTTGTCTATGTCTTTTGCCTTGCCGAAGCATTTGGTTTGAGTTTGCATTTTAAAAGAAGTGACTGATAGCATTAAACTATGCTTGATAACAATATCACCTGCCTATTTAATTTCTTCTGATTTGGCATAACGATTTCAAGGAAAAGAACATTGATTAAAAGTGCTCAGCATATTAACCGGGGGGGGGGGGGATCTGTGAAGAAAAATATAATATAATGTAAAATTCCATTACACTGGTCTGGTGAGCCCAAGGGGGCTTTCCTTGAACAGCACCTCCATGCTGATGAGATGAGACTTTTGAGTTGGTCTCAAAAGGAGCTTGGGTCGAGGTTTTAGGATCTGCTGTTCAAAGTAAATAAGACAAGAGATTCCACAGGGTTAGTGCAAACCCTAAATATCTCTTTGGGTCCTGGCAATTATCCTTACAACTCTGATTGCACGTACTCTTGAAATATGCATTGCTGTTCAAATATTTCAGTATTCAGTCGCTGTCCTCCCAAAAAGGAGGATATTACAAGAAACTGCTTGATAAACATGAATTGCATTTTGTCAGCACAATGCATAATCAGCTGAGTTGCTTGTAAATGTTAGCAGAGGCTCGAGGAATAAGAAGATGAAATCTCTGGGGGGTGTTAGAGAGGCAGCCAACGGCTTTTGATTACAAATAGACATGTAATAAAGTAGCCTGGATTCTTTGTATTAGAGCAGTCAACACCATTTTGCTGAACCATCCTGGATGAGCTCTTTACAGCTTGTGGATACATAATGACTTTGCTGTTCGTACCTTGATGCAGGGTATAAAAAAAGTCAGCCAGCATCGGCTTCATCCAAATAATTATTGATGTAGTCAGAAGAGTGGTACTTAAGAATGACAGCTGGACATATATTTTCCTATATCATCACAGTTGATCTTAACGCTTTAGCCACATTGATCTGATTCAATGAAACCCTTCAGATAAATTGCTTAGAAGATGAACTCTGTTAAACCTTTTATTTGAAAGAAAATAGGATGAAACAGGGATAACTATTGGCTGCGTGGGTGCTTTCTTCTTGGAGCTCTCTTGCACACAAGCATCTGGAACGCCAGTTAGGGAGAAAGTGGCTTAGAAGGCAGAGCTGCAATATAAAAGTACAGGGCTAAAAAAGAAGTACCTCAGCCCCTGCATACATCCTCTGCAGGGCAAACCTTTTTTTTCCTTACCAAACAGAAATGTTACTCAGGGTTTCCATAAGTGATGTAGTCTTGGAATATATGGGTTGGATTCAGATAGTTTGTTTTGTTTTTTACTCAGTCCCACCCAGTTCCCCCACTTACTACAGGCCCCATCCCACATAGTTTCCATGTGCAGCCTCTTTAGTTGTCAAAGTGCATTGCGCCTTCATTTTTCACTAACAGAAAAGCTGGTTAGATCCAGCCCTGTAACTCCATCATCTAGTTTCTAATCACAACAGTTATGTATAATCCACACTAAAAAAATCCTAGTAGCTTTCATTACATGTCACAGGATCCTAATTTCCTTAAAGAACTAGTTCCTGTTTCTATGGTTGTTTATAGTCTTCTTATGTTTATTGATTTTGAATACTCCTGGCTAAAATTCGTACTATTGATTCCTGTAAAGAGAGTAGCATACTCGATTGTTTTAGAACAATTTGGCCCATTTTGCTAAGCAGGTGAAATTGAAAACTATCAGATTCAAGTCTGCCATCCTTAGCAGAATTATACCCATTATAAGTCCACTGAAGAGGTTAGAAGGGCGTTAAGAATGTCACTGAAGGATCCAACGTGTAATATTTTTACAACGAGAGAAAAAAACAAAAGCTATCTGAGATTCAAGGAATCATGAAAAATTTGGCTGCTCAACAGCTATTAGATTATGTGTGAATAAAATAACTTAATGAAAGTATATTCTGTTCTATGTAGCGTTGCAGTTTTACATCTTTATTGTAGCTTCATTACACTGAGTTGCTAATTTAAATTAAAGAGCAATTGAAATTAAAGGCCAATGGATAATTGCTTTCCTCTATTGCCTGAAACACTCTGAAATAATTTACTGTATCACTACAAATCACCTAAAACCATTTAGTCAAATATATTAAGAGGGGGGTCAAACTGAGGGCAGCCCTATTTCGAACAAATTGAATTCCTTCCTGAGAATAGATTTCAAACAGATTTTTAATTGCAATGTTTTTCAGAGATGCCCTTACCCAATTGTATCTTTATTAGAGTGCTTGAGTTTTTAACTTGATTTGAACCTTTAAAGTTGGACAGTCAGATTTTGCTTTTGAACGGCCTTCTTGGGGAGGACCGTCAGTGATGTTTCCAGGGTTTGAGGGCCTTCATATAAAAACCTGGAAGAGGTAGAACAAACAAAGAGAAGATCTCACCTTCTTGTTTGTTTCATATAAAGTGAAAATGATGGTGCTGTTGGTGGATTGATACTTTTGCCCAGTTTGGGATTTTGGTGCATGCCCGCTCATACTGTTCTGTTTGGCCAGCCCTTAAAAGACCTGACCAGCATCCTCTAGATTGAGTACATTTTTTATGTTCTTTACATACATTTCACATTATGAATTTTGATGTGTTTTTTGTTTAACAGACTTGAATCAAAGGAGCCTTTCCTGTCCGTTGGGTGAGTAAGAATCTCTGGCTAAGTGATATAATTTTTTAAAAAACCTTCTTTCAACAGCATTTAGAATATAACCTTCAGTTTCCTTTGGAGCTCATTAAATTTCTGAGACAATAATAAAATTCACTGGGTATTTATAGGAAGCTTCTGGCGTGAATTTCTTTCTCAGAACTTACTCTGCTATATGTAACTGATGCAGCTCCATTTCCAGTTATTCTGTTGTTCAATGTGTAGGTCTTACCACACATAGACAGAGAACCTAGTCTGTTTATTGTTACACTCAGCTGCAGCCTAACTAGCATCAGTATTAGCCCAGTAAATCCTTCCAGTTATTTATAGATAATTATATTTCAGAATCAAGAGGTGTTTCCTGATCTCATGCACTTTCATTAGCCACAAATACACCAAATGAGTTTAGTTGGAAAATGTCTAGACTGGTTTTCTATAAAATGTTCAAGGAGGCTTACAAAAGTAACAGCACATCAGCACAATGAAGTGATATTAAAACAGTAATCCAACAAAATCAATGCAACTAAAACCCCAAGGATCATCAGTTTTATTCAAAAGCCTTACAAAAGTATTGAGTTGTTTGAGTTTTTCCTACTGATGCCACAAGGCTTGTAATGATGATAGTACTTGTAACTCCTAGGAGAAGAAATTCCACAATTTAGAAGCGACTGCCCCAAAGACCCCATGTAGGGTTGCCAGGTTCTTAATGGCTGCCGGCAGGAGCTGGCCCGGGATCTTCCTGTACGCACACCATGATGACATCACCTGGAAGTGACGTCATCACGTCAGCGACATCAGGGGGTGACACTATAGGTTTTGAGCAAAACCCTATGGTAAAATTAGGGTCAAGCCATAGGGAACACCTGTCTGGACCAGGGGGCCTGGCAACCCATACCCTATGGGTCCCAGTTAAGTATCCTTTTGAAAATGTGGGTTCGTTAAACAAGCCTCCCATTGGACAATCACTGAGCACAGATGGTTACATATGCGTGGAGACCTTCCTAGCTAACCCTTTTCTGTGAGCTTAAAAACATCAGTAGGAATAATGGAAGCAGTCAGTAAATCAAGAGAGCCATTGCCTGATTATTTCATTGACTCTTGTGGTGTTCTTTCTCTTCCCCCCCCCCCACCTTTGTGAGCAGCCAGTCTGAGGCTCCTTGGTTTTTGAGAACTGTCCTAGTGTTTTCTTTGGAGGCAGTGTCAGCAATTTGCCTTTAAATTACTAGGACAGCCCACACATGGGCACTTAAAGGCACTTAAGGGCCTGTTTACCTGACTGTGAAAGCTGCAGTTTTCAGTCAAATCTGCTGATTTCCAACTTTGTCAACCCATAATGCACATATCCCACGAGGCACAAATATGCACTGAATTCCACCCAGATCAACTTTTGGGATATCAACACAAAAACAGTTGGCTTTAATAAGGCTTTCTATAAATTTGACTCTTCTGGGAGAGTCAGTGGGTTACACTCTAGAGACTCAGAAATCAATAGTTATGCATTGGTGTTTACAGAACTGCCGTCGTTACTTTTCATCCTGAGAAGCGTTGAAATCTGTACTGGAGAACAAAATACCAGAGATACATAAACTGATACCTCTCAGAAAGCAGCTGAGACCCCAGGATCTCATTTTGAGATGGTTGGGGTATTAGCAGAAGCCGGCTATCCTCTAGTGAATGGGGGAGGCAGCTTTTAGAATAAAGCTTTTAGAATAAAGCTTTAGAAAAGAAGTGGATATTTTTTGATGTTAGAGAAATCCATACTGAGGTAGGAAAGGGGATATAGACATTCTTGCTGTCTATCTAAGCTCGGATGCAGAGAGATTCAGACAGCATGGGGGTGGGTGAGAGAGAGCCCAAATATAGGAAGAGAAGGAAGCAAGCAGAAGGAAGAAAGTCCCCTGCTAATAGCAATCTGGGTAACAAAGAGACAACAAAAGAACAGACAAAACTGATAAATCAGCAGGCCCGGATGGCATACATCCAAGAGTTCTGAAAGAACTCAAATGTGAACTTCTGGATCTCCTGACAAAAATATGTAATCTTTCCTTAAAACCTGCCTCCATTCCTGAGGACTGGAAGGTAGCTAATGTCACTCCCATCTTTAAAAAGGGTTCCAGAGGAGATCCGGGAAATTACAGGCCAGACAGTCTGGTGTCGATACTAGGTAAGTTGGTGGAAACTGTTATTAAGGAAAGAATTAGTAGGCACATTGATGAACAAAGACTATTGAGCCAGACTCAGCATGGGTTCTATAAGGGGAGATCTTGTCTCACTAACCTGTTAGTGTCCTTTGAGGGGGTGAACAAACATGTGGACAAGGGGGACCCAATAGATGTTGTTTACCTTGACTTTCAGAAAGCTTTTGATAAAGTTCCTCATCAAAGGCTCCTTAGTAAGCTCAATAGTCATGGGATAAAAGGACAAGTCCTCTTGTGGATCAGAAACTAGCTAATAATAGGAAATAGAGTGCAGAGTGCAGGGGGTTGGACTAGATGACCTGCAAGGTGCCTTCCAACTCTAACATTCTATGATTCTGTGATTCTATGAGTATAAATGGGCAATTTTCTCAGTGGAGGGTGGTAAGCAGTGGGGTACTACAGGGATCAATACTGGGTCTGATGCTTTTTAACTTGTTCATTAATGATTTGGAGTTGGGAGTAAGCAGTGAAGTGGCTAAATTTGCAGATTACACTAAATTGTTCAGGGTGGTGAGAACCAGGGAGGATTGTGAGACACTCCAAAGGGATCTGTCGATGATGGGCAAGTGGGCATCAACATGGCAAATGGGGTTCAATGTGGCCAAGTGCAAAATGATGCACATTGGGGCCAAATTCCTAACTATAAGTACACGTTGATGGGGTCTGAACTGGCAGAGACGGGCAGAGTCGTAGTAGATAACTCACTGGAAATGTCGAAACAGTGTGCGACTACAATAAAAAGGCCAACGCTATGCTGGGGATTATTAGGAAGGGAATTGATAACAAATCAACCAGTATCATAATGTCCCTGTATAAATCAATGGTGCGACCTAATTTGGAACCATTTATTTATGGGTTTTGGTTGTTTTTATGATGGCAACTAGAATGTTCAAAGGGTAGGAACCCGTTCCCTACAAAGAAAGGTTAAAGCGCTTGGGGCTGTTTAGCTTGGAGAAATGATGACTGAGGGGTGACATGATCGAGGTTTACAAGATTATGCATGGGATAGAGTAGGTAGAGAAAGAAGTACTTTTCTCCCTTTCTCACAATACAAGAACTCGTGAGCATCAATTAAATTGCTGAGCAATCGGGTTAGAACGGATAAAAGGTAGTACTTCTTCACCCAAAGAGTGATTCACACATGGAATTCACTGCCACAGGAGGTGGTGGCGGCTACAAGCATGGACAGCTTCAAGAGGGAATTGGATAAACATATGGAGCAGAGATCCATCAGTGGCTATTAGCCACAAGGTATAGATAGGCTGCAAAAAGATCAAATCAATCAATCCTCAAAGAAATCAACCCTGACTGTTCCCTGGAAGGCCAGATAATGAAACTGAAGCTCAAATACTTTGGCCACCAAATGAGAAGGGAGCACTCACTGGAGAAGACCCTGATGCTGGGAAAGATTGAAGGTCAAAGAAGACGGGGACGGCAAAGGATGAGATGGTTAGACAGTGTCATTGATGCAACGAACATGAAATTGAGCCAACTTCAGAGGACGGCGGAAGACAGGAGGGCCTGGCGGGAGATGATCCATGGGGTCGCGAAGAGTCGGACTCGACTGTGCGACTGAACAACAACAACAAATAGATAGGAATTCTCAGTCTGGGGCTCTGTATTCTTGGTGCTTGGGAGGGTAACAGTGAGAGGGCGTCTAGTGTCCTGGCTCCACTGGTGGACCTCCTGTTGGCACCTGGTATTTCTGGCCACTGTGTGACAGAGTGCTGAACTGGATGGGCCATTGACCTGATCCAGCATTGGCTTCTGTTATGTTCTTAATAGGAAGGATGCAGAGGAATCTGACCATCTTACTAGCTCTATTGCTCCCTGTGGAATACAAGCTTCGTGCAAGTTAACAGTGCACAGTCCTTCACTTCCGACAAGGAGCATAGATACATGGGTAGAATTCCAAAGCCTAGTACAAAATAGATACATTTTGGAATCAGCAAAGTTCATTTCGCAAAGGCAACCAACATTCTACCAAACTACACAACTGATACATCCCAGGCTGGAAATGTGAGTTCCATTTGGGCTGGAATGATTTCTAGAATGGACCCAGAACTTCCTGTGATCCACCCAACACTTGACTCTGCACACTTTTTGGTGCTTGTACAGGTGGATAGCTTCTGCACTGTTCCTCCCTACATGCCATTTAGAGGAATGGGAGCACACCTTAGCTGTCTGTTCTGGCATCACTGAATCATTTAAGGAAAAGTAGGAGGCAGATGATGGCTTCCTTTAAAGGTTGACTATCTGCAGTCTTAGTAGTAGCAGAGGGTTTCTTTTTGTTTTTTCATCTATGGGCAACTTTACCACTGCTTAACTGAACTGATGTTGAGCCTGTGTTCAGGGAAAGGAAGAAAAATATTTTAAATAGACAACACTTGGCAAGCAGTCACGATTCAAAGACATGATCGTTTTTTCTGCACATCAACTTTTGTTCAACAGGCACATCAAAGGTAAAATCTACTAAGTTAAGTGGAAAGGCTGAGTCAGGATCACTAAAAATAAGATCAGTTGCCTTGGTAAAAGCTGCAGGTTGCCAGGTAGGTTAGAAATGAAGAAGTCTGTAATTTAGGGTATAAACAAACCAGGAATGCAGTCTTAAGCACAGTTGCACCCTTCTAAGCCCATCAATTTCAGTTGACTTAGAAGGACACAACTCTTCTGAGGACTGCACTGTAGGAGTTTTACATTTATCTGTTAACTAATTTTGATGAGATGATTACTTGATGCCAAGTGGAAACTTAGCTCTTTTTGATGTTTAAGTGAGCATGAAGATAGTGGTGGCTA